CACACACCTAAATGCACAGGAAGTACACCTGTGGGACTGTTGGGCCTGGCTGGATAGAAGAGCAGGTGTTTCAGGCAGCCCTCTGGGAAAAAGTATACCAACTTATGTTTTGATGAGTTCTCATGGTCAAGTGAACCACACAACTGTGAAATTAGACCTACTGCCACCTTAAAAGTGCTTTCTAATGTGCTGAAGCTCAGAAGGGATGTTTTTTGTTATTATACAGCCAAATACAGCCTCAAACAGGCCATGTCACTCCTCCTTCAGCTTGGTGTGCCCACTACTAAATCAGTGCCTTCTGCACTTCACTCTGCGTAGCCCTCCAGCTGATTCTGCTCAGAGTTGTCAAAAAAAGAAAAGACACTTGATACTGATTCGTGGTGTCTGTCTCAAGACATGATCTCATGGATAGCCCTGGCTAGCCTGTAACTTGCTACTGCAGACCAGGCTGTCCTAGTACTTAAAACAATCTTTCTGCTTCTCACTCTCAAATGCTAGGATTTATGCATGTAGCACTATGCCCAATTTCCAGGGTTTAAAGAATGAATTTTAAAGGATCCCATCTGGGTTTGGGCCTTTAAGTATTTAAAGCTTAAAAAAGGAGAAGAGTAGGGTACTCAAGTAAGGTGAATAGCGGAGTTAATGTACAAGAAGTCTGTGTATTGGGGCTGGAGAGATGGCTCAGGGGTTAGGAGCACTGACTGCTCTTCCAGAGGTCCTGAGTTCAATTCCCAGCAACCACATGGTGGCTCACAACCATCTGTAATGAGGGATTAATAAAATCCCTCTTCTGGCATGTGAGCATGCATGGAAGGAATGTTGTATACATAATAAATAAATCTAAAAAAAAAAAAAAGAGAAGAAGAAGTCTGTGTATTATAATTACAGTCAGTAATACACAGTACAGGAAAAGAAACAGAGAGGCAACAATCATCTACTAAAGATTCACATAGCAGCAAAGCAGCCCAGCAGAAGAGGAGAGATTTCATTCCATCTTTTCTTTGGGGCAGAATCTTTTTATGTAGCTGAAGCAGTTCAAAACGTACAAAGCTCATGCCTTAGCATCTGAGAAACTGAGCTAACAGGCATATAGCATCATGCCTGTCTTTTGCTGTTGACTTTCTATTGTAGTAACTATCAAAATTAACATTACCTCAACTATCCTAAAAGAGAAAAGAAAAAAAATGCCAACTTTACAAATACATATAAAAATAGTCAGAGAAGGCCAGGTGTGATGGCAGGTGGATTTGAGTTTGAACTCAGCCTCATCTACAGTAAGATTCCGTCTCCAAAAAAAAGAGACAGAGAGCATTAAATAAAAAAGGATGCATTGCCAATGCTGATAACCCCCAAGAAGTCCTGCACAAAGGCACATGCCTGTAATTCCAGCACTTTTGAAGCTGAGGCAGGAAAACTACTGAGCTTAAGGCCAGCAGCTATACAGCAAGTTCAAGGCCAACTAAGTTTATAAACTCCATTCCTCTACCTGGAGGAGGGAGGGGGAGAGAGGGAGAGAGAAGGGTTGGGGGAAGAGAATAAATTCAAGCTGGGGATGTAGCTCAGCTTTAGGTTTTTTTTAATGTGGGGAAGGCCTGGGGCTCCATCTCCAATACTGGGGTGGGGCAGCACAGTGGCAATGACATAGGTCAGCAGGTAATGGCACCTAATAACTTGCCACATACGCATGACAACTAGAGATCCCCAGAATCCATGTAAAGGTGAAGAAAACACACGCCACCAATCTGCCCTTGACCCCACAATAGTAAAACAGTTTTAAGAGGCAGAGCTGAAGATATGGCTCAGCAGTTAAGAGCACTTGCTATTCTTGCAGAGGATCTGAGTTCTAGTCCCAGCACCTACCCATGTGTAACCCCAGTTCCAGGGACTTGGTATCCTCCATGCATACACATAAAAACTCCATAGGCAATAAACCCCACACCATTCCCCTTTAGCTCTTACTACCTCAAGGTCGTTGTCTCAGCCTGTGAGCAGAGTTCTCTGATATAGCTCCTGCCACGATGGTCATGGACTCTAATCCCCTAAACTGTGAACCCCTGAAAAAACCTTTCTTTAACAAATTGCCTTGGTCATGGTGCTTTGTCACTCAACAGAAAAGTAACTAAGATACAATGAATCTGTGAAGAAATCAGTGTGCCAGAGGCTGAGACTAAAAGCAATAGTTCTAAAGAGTAGCACCATCCACAAGGTAAACAAATAAACAAAGTGGGTTCCTGTTAGGACGGAAAAGACTGCCTTTCCCAGGCAACCAACCAGGAACAGAAATCTGGTGAACTTTAAGGGAAATCGGGGTCTGTTACAGAACCTACTAACTCTTTCTTTCTTTCTTTGGTTTTTCGAGACAGGGTTTCTCTGTAGCTTTGCATCCTGTCCTGGAACAGCTCTTGTAGACCAGGCTGGCCTCAAATTCACAGAGATCCGCCTGCCTCTGCCTCCCCAGTGCTGGGATTAAAGGAGTGGGCCATCACCACCAGCCCCCCACTAACTCTTTTACCCACCCCCGCCAATATTAAACCACAAAGAATTCACCTACTCTTAGAGATGGTGCATAGCAGAGGATAATGCCAACATGCACAAACTCAGTCATCACTTCATGCTGCACTGTGTCAGGAGCAATTAATTATTTTAGCCTTTGATAAAAAGCTGACAGTTCTTTCCCTGTAGGAATCCCAGTCTGGAGAAGGACAAATGAGTTGATTGTTCAAGGGGGGAAAGTTGCAATGAAATCTCAATGCTGAAAAGATGACTCTGCTGCAATGTGGGAGGTGACTATCTTCTAAGCCTACTAAAAGCAGACACCACAGCAGAAATCCACCCAACTCTTGATGGCTCAATGCATTATGGGATATGTAGTCTTAAGAAAAGCAGGCGAAACAATTTTTAGGATGATGTATTTAGGATAGAGGCAAGAGGATCAGACACTGAAGCCCAGCTGGGCTACAGGAGATCCTGTGGATCCCAAGTTTGAGGTCAGTGTGGACAATATAGAGGAACTGGTTTAAGAAAAAGAAAAGCAGTGCCTTTAATCCCAGTATTTGGGAGGCAGAGGCAGGAGGATCTCAGTGAGTTTGTGGTCAGCCTGGTCTAGAGAATGAGTTCCAGGACACGCTCCAAAGCTACACAGAGAAACCCTGACTCAAGAATTAAAAAAAAAAAAAAAAAAAAGTAAGTACCAGCCTGAACTACAGAGTGAGATCCAGAATAGCCAGGACTACAAAGAGAAACCCTGTCTCAAAGGGAGGAAAAAACGCTTTAACATTTAAATATATATTCTCAACAATAGCAATTGAAAATGATAGGTAAGCACTGAGCCACATCCCAATGCCTTAACTCCAAACTGCTTTAAACTGTGTAACAGTCCACAATTCTCCAAATGTGTGACCCCTCAGTCAAATAAGCCGGACCCAACCAACGCCCCCTCAAACCTAACAGCATGATTACATAACTATGTTAAACTGTTTCTAAGCAAGAACACTGAATTCTATGGATTGTTAGCCACAAAATGCCCTGAACACAAAATACCCCAAGCTGAAATACAAATTGCTTCCTGTCTCTAGTATATCCTGATTCAGGCAGTCTTCACTACAGGACTTTCCAGTGCCATCTTCTAAGTCAGTTGGAGGAGCTTGGAATGTAGCTTCTGATCCCACTGGGTCAGAAGCAAAGATAAGTTACAGTTTAACTGTGAAACACTGGTTTATGGGTTCTTTTGAATAGTTTTGAATTAAAGGCCATTGTGCCAGGAGGGCAAAAAGAACACACCTTCTGAACTATTATTATATTAAATTAATTAGTATGCCATGGCAATAATTTGCAAATTACCCAACCCACCACTTAAGAGACAAACCCAGAAATCCTATGTTCTCCCTTCCCAAGTAAGTTCTTATTTGGGGTCACATTTACTCTAAAGAATCTACCGTTTTGTGAGGTTACACGGCCCCTGAAGTGGTATATACTCCCCCAACGGTGGCTACTTTCTCCATTGTGAGTCTTATCATTTTCTGTAATTATCTAAAGTTGACAATTATGATAGATGCTAGTGAAATTATTCTTGTTCGCTTACTCTCTTCTCAATGGAGGCGCCTCTGCGGCTTACAGCTTTATGTAAAATATTGTAAGCCATGCCCTAGACAAAATAAAGGCCTGTCTCAAGAAAGCACTTACGATCGTTCTGCAGCCACTGAGTGACCTTGGTTAGGAACCACTGGCTCTGGGGTGGGGACAAGAAGAAAGGAAATACCCTGGGACCCAGGACCTGTACCCCTGCCTCCTCCCTAAGGTTCTGGGATGACTGGCTGGCCTGCAGACCAGAAGACGTCTACACTGACTCACCTAGATACTGAAAGATACAGATCGGAGGGGGAGGGGATGGGTAAATCCCTCCACATAGGAAGTGCAGCAATAACACGGAGTAAGGACGTGGCCCTAAGCGAGAACCTAGGCTTCTTCCTTTCCGGATCAGCCCCGGCCCCCACCCCCACCCCCACCCCCGACTGGCAAGGCGGCAGCTGCAGCCAGGCCCCTGGATAGTGGAGGACGTCCGCGCTGCGTAGGCCCAACCGCTCCCGCGCCCAGCTGCTCCTCCGGCCCTGACCCTGCCCAGTGGCCTCACCAGGGGGCGAAGAACTCGACTAGCATGAGGCCCGCCGAGCCCGTGTCGGAGACGCGACTCTCGAAGTTTTCGTCCGTGAGTTCCAGGACGTCAGATGCGGCGGCGAGGCGGGCCGAGGCGAGCAGCAGCGCCACGCCCGGGAGCAGCGCTAGGTGGCTGAAGAGCATGGCGGCAAGACTCGGATGGGGCGGTCGGAGGGTCGGGGCCAGGGGACTGAGAAGAGAGTGCCCTGAATCCGCACCCGCTGCCTGAGCTCGCGCGTCTGGCCCGAGCAGACCTGCTGCCGAGGTCCCAACCCCCTAGGCCGGCTCGGGCCGCAGTGTGGCAGCCGCCGATTGGCTGCATCCCCCGCTGCGTCGGGCGGGATGAACCAGCTGGTAACTGCCGATTGGCTGGCGCGCGGGGCGGGGCGAACGCCCGCGGGCCCGGCTGTGGGAGGGAGGAAGGCCTTGGCGGGGGTCGGTGGGAAGTGGGGGCTCCGGGTAGCCGGGGCGGTCCTGAGCTCGGCCAGCGGAGGAGGAGTGGAGCTCAGGGCGCCGGCGCGGGAGGCGAAGGGGTGAAGTCAGGGCTGAGTGGGCGGAAGTGCGCTGGGTCTGACGTGAGGCCTTGAAGCGGGCGGGAGGGGAGTTTGAGCCGCCCCGCTCCCTCCCTCCCGGGCGTTGAGGCGCTCACACACTCGGGCACAATACGACACGTATTCCAAGTGCCAGGCTGTTGATTTGTCCAATTATAGGGCGTAGAACACTACATCCTGCTGCTGCCCTCCCTCGTATCCTGCTTTGTCAGGTCCACGTGAGGTCTGTATTCTTTGTCCAGCATTAGGCCTTCTGCCTTCCTGATTTTTCACTGATTGCTGTTGTTTGTTCAAGAGGGTGGGTACCCGAGGATTGAACCGGGAACCTTACCCAATGCTGGACAAGTGATCCATTGCCGAATTATATTCCTAGTCCTACCTAGTCCTTTTTTGACTTTTTGAGACATGATCTCACTAAATTTCCCAGGTTGGCTTTATGTTCAATAATCTGGCAGGCCTAGAACTTTCCTATCCTGGCCTCAACCTCAGGGATTGATGGTTGATAGTCCGCACCACCAGGCTCAGGCTCAATTTTTACTTTTTCTTAACAAAGTCTCACTATGTGGCCCTGACTGGCTTGGAACTAGCTATGTAGACTAGGCTGGCCTCAACAGAGATGCACCAGCCTCTTGAGATTGAGATTAGAAGTATGCATCCCCACCGCCAGCCCTTTCAGTTATTTTTAAAGAAGAAATACCGGGCTATGATGGCACACGACTTTAATCCCAGCACTCGGGAGGCACAGGCAGGCGGATCTCTGTGAGTTCGAGGTCAGCCTGGTTTACAAGACCTAGTTCCAGGATAGCCTCTAAACCCTGTCTCGAAAAAATATAATATAAATATATAAATAGATAGATAGATAAATAAATAAGAAATACATAATTACAAGCGCTGTCAGAAAGTGAAAATTCGTGGATATTTAGTTGACTGTGGAAATATCTCTTACGATTTTTTTTCTATCTTTTGCATAAACAAAAAATCAAAACCAAAGAACAAAAACTTTTTTAGTCTTTTTTTTTTTCTAGACAGGTTTTCTCTGTAGCTTTGGAGCCTTTCCTGGAAACTAGCTCTTGTAGATCAGGCTGGCCTCAAACTCACAGAGATCCAGCTGTCTCTGCCTCCTGAGTGCTGGGATTAAAGGTGTGCGCCCCATTTTTGAGTCTTTCAAAAGTACTTAACTGCTTATGGTATCTTTAATGGGCTCCCTAAATCTCTGAAAGGCAAAGAAGGTAGGAAGGAAGGGAAAAAACAACAACAAAAAAAACCCAAAACCTCTAACCCTTGGTTCTATTTTCTTCACAGCCATGGCCCAGGAACGAGGACACGTACCGCTGCCTAGAGCTAATGCTATTCGCTCGCGGCTTATCGACACCTTCTCCCTCATAGAGCATTTGCAAGGCTTGAGCCAAGCCGTACCAAGGCACACTCTCCGGGAGATACTTGGTTAGCAGCCTGTTCGCTTGCACTAAGTGTAATATTCCTGTCCACATCCTCAGAAGATAGGAAGCAGAAACATATTTTAGGGTGGAGCTAGGAATGGTGGTATATGACTAGCCTGGGCTTCATAGCAAGACCCTGGTTCCAAACAACAACAACAATAACAAAATAGGGCTGGCAATATAACTTAGTGAGTAAAGTGAGTAAAGTACTGGTTCCCAAAAGTTGCCCTCTGGCATACACATGCATGCTTGACCACACACACACACACACACACACACACACACGCGCGCGTGAGTGATACTTGCCTACAATTCCAGCCTTCTGGAGGAGGAGGCACTGGGAATTGAAGGTCATTCTTGGTTACACAGTGTAGTTTGAGGATGAGAGGGGTTATCTGAGACTCTTATCGCAAGTAATGGGAACAGCAAGATAGAGGTAGCTCAGGGAGTAAAATGCACTTGCTGCCACGTCTGAGAACCTGAGTTCTATGCCCAGCACCCACATGGTACAAGAAGACAACTTACTCCGGCAGTTGTATACACACACATACTTTTTTGAAAAGTACAAATAAAAGGAAAATTTTAGAGATGAGAAACTACGCTAAACTTGATGAATTCAGGACTTTAAACCTCTATCTATTCCTCTGAATCCTAGTCAGGTGACCCTGACTTTGAACAGTTTTCACCAAAGGTACTTAAAACTTGGAGGTTTCTGAGCTGGTGATGATGGCCTTACATCCTTAGAAAGCAGAGGCAGGTGGATGTCTGAATTGGAGAGAGCCTTCCTAGCAGGTCCTGAACCAGCTGCTGCTTTCATAAGCACAGTCAGTGTGAGCATAAACGACACATGTTCACTTTACACTAATAGAATTCTTAGTTGCTTTGGAAAAGAGCAGCTTACAAGGCAGAGCTGCTGCTGCGTGTAGAAAGTCCATTATTTTACCAGTGTCCCTCTCCCCAACTCTGCCTGCTGTCCACAGTCCCCCAGCCCGTAGATCTGTCTATACTCCTTTCTGTTTGGCGGGGAGGCTGGGGAGGGAAGGCAGTCTTGTGTGTTGCCCAGTACTGGTGCATTCAAGCTGAACAACAGGCATGCCCAATTACCTTTTCGTTATAGATCCTTCTCTCCAGAAGAAACTCATGTCAGGAGACCAGCACCAGCTAGTGCGCTTCTCCATAAAGCCCCGGCATATGGGCCACATCACACACTCCCAGCGAATGCTGAGCAGGCTCCGTGTGCGGTGCAGCCAGAGGCCACCTCTTTCCCTGTGGGCTGGATGGGTTACTGAGAGTATCCTTTTGTGTCACCTGTTCTTATTGTGGCTTTCCCTCATCTGTTAATGATTTATTTTTCCTCTCAAACTATTTTCTTCAAATTCTCATATCTGATATTGTTGTCCTTATTATTTCAGCTGCATGAATGAGAATGTGCTCCGTCTGTGTGTTTCCTTAAAAGCAAACAGATCCTATCTTCTCGAAATTCATCATCTCCCTCATCTTTCTCAATACAATTGTACTGATGGTCGAAATAGGTGAGAACTGGTGCTTATGAAAAAGGTCGTTTTCTTCCAACCTGACCGTTTCATACTTTCAGGTATCAGTTCATTGTGACGGGGACAGATGTACTTATTCATTTACTTTTTGAGACAGAGTCTTATGTAACCTACACTAGCCTCAAGGATGACCTTGAAGCTGACCTCCTCCTTGTACTTTCCATCTGAGATTACAGGTGTGCACCACTGTGCCTACCTAAGAGAAAGGGGGCTCTAAAATACCATTTACATACTATATGAAACCTATTAAAAAACAGAAGGACATCTCATTTCATTGTTAACTCAGGCAGATTGCACAGATCAGGAGTGGTGGTGAGTGCCTTTAATCCAGCACTTTGGAAATTGAGGCAGGGTTATAAGTTAAGGCTAACCTGCACTGTGCAGTAACTCTCTCAAAAGATAAAGTTCATAAAAACTGCTTAGAATGAAAGAACAGTAGTAATTCTTGATGGGGGTGCCGCACGCCTTTAATCCCAGCACTTGCGAGGTAAAGGCAGGCGGATCTCTGTGAGTTCAAGGCTAGCCTGGTCTACAGAGTCAGTTCTAGGACAAGGCTGAGGCCAGCCTGGTCTACAGAGTGAGTTCCAGGACAGCCAAGGCTACACAGAGAAACCCTGTCTCAAAACACAAACCAAACCAAATCAACAAAACCACAAATCAAAACAAAGTCCCCATAAGTATTTATTATTCTGTTTTCATATGGTATTTCTTAAATTTTGAGGATTTTACCATTTTTGTATTATCATTTTCTCCTATTATCATATTTTATTATTTTCATATTATGTAGCTTGACCAAATCAATTATTTTGTGACAATCTGTTTTACATATTTATTTTTTATTTTATTTATATGTGTAGGTGGTTTTACATGCGCATGCATGCAGTGCCCACGGATGCCAGAAGAGGGCATTGGGTCTCATGGTTACAGATGTCCTCTGAATGGTTGCTGGGAATAGGGTACTCTGCCAGTGCTCTTACTGCTGAGACACATCTCCAGGCCCTTGTAATCTTACTTGTTTAAAGCCAAATGTTTAGGACTTGTAGTTTAGCCCGAGGGGTGGAGTGCTTGCCTAGCATGTACAAGCCCCTGAGATTGGTCCCCCTGGCATTTCAAACAGAACAAAATAAAAGCAAAACATGCTTGTTTCAATTGTAAGCACTATTTGAACTCATGAATCACAAGTTGTGATTTTTTTCCCCCAACACCAGCAATTGATTTTGGCCAAATGTTTATACAAATACCAGTGTGCTATTCTGCTCTATGATGTTGGATTTTCCTTACAACCAGTGTGAACTTAACTGGTATTCTATGAAGTGACTGATTTATGTTGTTGTAGCAATAGGTGATGTCTGTATCAAAAATGCCTTGTTTTGTGGAATTGTATACTTTGTCTGGCCTATCTGATTAAATTCCTGCCTTCCACTCCAGAGAAAGATTGTATTGTACTGGGATGAGCTCTGTTACATTAAGGTTCTTTTGCCTTACTAAGGCAAGCTGAATTGTTGACTGGTTAGTTTGTTGGTGCTGGAATCCAAACCCAGGTCCTCTGCAGAATGGTAAGTGTTCTTAAATGCCAAGACTCGCTAGTGCATAGAGATGGGTTTTACTATAGCCCTGGCTGGCCCAGAACTTCCTATGTAGCCACAGTTGTCCTCAGTTTCAATTCTGCTTCAGCCTCCCAAGTGCTAGCTGGATACAAGTGTTCAACACTAAGTTTGAGTGTGTTTTTTATTGTAAACTAGGCTGCCCTCCAGAGGAGTGCCCCACAACACCTGGCTTATTTTGTTCCAGGGTCTCACCGAAGTCTTGGATGGCCTTAGTTCACTGTAATCTGAGCTGCCTTTGAACTTTCGATCCTCCTGCCTCAGTCTCCCAAGTGGTAGAGTGAAAGAATAGTTATATTTTCCTCTCCAGACAGTACACCTTTTCATTAGCTGCTGCAGCATTGGCAGTGGTCACCCCTCACCTTCTGTCTCACTTAAACAATTTCTGCTGTTTATTTTTCTGATTTTTCTTTAGTTATTTAGCAATAATGTTTATTCAGTTTTGCTTTCACAGACAGGATTTCCATAAAGAACAATGAAGTAATTTGAGACCAGAGAGACCGTTTACTAGTTAACACACTCACAACTGCCTATGACTCCAGCTCTAGGGAATCCTACACTTTCTTCTGCACACACAAACATGTAGCATAAATTCTAATTGTTCTTAATGATAAAAACCTAGAGTCAGATATTAGGTGGCAAAAACTAAGAGATCAGAGAAGCAGTGTAGCCAGCCAGTAGAGAGATCTTTTACCTCTACCAAATCCTCAAACTGCCTCCTCTGACTGCATCCTCTGACTGACCACTTCAGACTGCTGCCTTAAACTGCTTGCTCAGACTGTAATGAGCTCCTGCCTCCTCCCACTTGATATTACTCTTTCTGCCCAGCCATAGCACTCCTGTCTCCACCTTCCTAGTGCTGAGATTAAAGGCATAGGATCCCAAGTCCTGGGATAACCTTTGTGTGAGCTCTGACTATATCAATTTTATGTAGCCCAGGGTGGCACTGAGCTAACAGAAATCCGTCTGTCTCCAAAGTCGTGGGATTAAAAGTGTATGCCACCACTCCCTGGCCTCTAGTGGCTTAGCTCTGCATTCTGATCTTCGAGCAAATTTTATTAAAACACGAACAAAATATCATGACACAAACACACACATACACACGTGCATACATACACTCACACACACATGTTGTGAGACTTAAATGTGGTCCTTAGTGCCTTCTAATATCGTAATCCCCTGCTTCTGGGAACCAGAATTTATTATATGTTTGTTTAATTACTTTTGTGTATGTGTGTGTGTAGGTAGGTACATGTGTCATGGCTACTAAGAAATAAAAATCATCTTAGGACACATCAATTGTAAAAGGCATCTTTGAAATTATTCAGAAGTTTAATTTTTTAAAAGATTTAATCTCATATTTCTATATTTTCACTCTGTTTATAAGACCCATTGCTTTCCTATAAACTTTAGGACAAACTTAACTGTACAGCATATGGTGGGGGTGTAGTAAAGAGGGAAATTCTGTAGGGGCTGTATGACTGTAGAATGGGTTGTAAACTTGCAACTGTTACTTATATCAGCAACAAGAAGTACAGTATCGCCAGGTGGTGGTGGTGCACACCTTTAATCCCAGCACTTGGGAGGCAGAGGCTGGTGGATCTCTGTGAGTTCGAGACCAGCCTGGTCTACAGAGCTAGTTCCAGGACAGGCTCCAAAACCTCAGAGAAACCCTGTCTCGAAAAACCAAAAACCAAAACAAAACAAAACAAAGAAGTACAGTATCGCTGTTGTTTTATGGGTAGTTCTGCCCTGTATTACACAGGTGGAAGCAAGAGCACTTGTTACTCTTGCAGATGATCCAGGTCCAAGTCTAACATCAACATAGGGGCTTACAACTGTAACTCCAGTTCTAGGGGATCTGACACCCTCCCCTGAACTTCAGGTAGAAGGCACACATGTGATACATATACATATATGTATACACATACATACATGCAGGCAAAAACTCATAGATTTAAACAAATTTATGAAAGACAGAGAAATTCAAGAGAAACGGAATAGTAGTGGTCACAACTCTGGTTTATAAGTGGTCATCCTTCGTTATTCAGCTTCTCACTTAATTTTTATTTCTCCCTTGCTCTACCTTACAGAATTGATGGAATCCACAAACACTAAACTGTGGCCGTTGAGACTGACTCTGGAGGTGGCAGATTGGTTTATCTTGTTTAGTTTCATTTTCGAGATCCTTCTAATGTGGATGTCTGGCTTTACTCTCTTCTGGAATAATGCCTGGAATGTCTTTGACTTTGTTGTTACCATGCTGGTAAGGATAAATAGCCTTAGGATTAGTTAATGGGACCAGCTATATACCTTGGTAAATTAAGTTAGCTAAAACATCCAGGAAGGAATATATAAAAATCTATCAAATTTGCTGCTTTGATTTTTTTCCCCTTAAAGCTAAAAGTAATTGCAGAAATTGTTGTCATTAAGAATATCAACCCCTAAAATGACATCTGCTACTTACTGAGCACTAAGTGACAGCCACGATTTTAAGTATTTTTTTTTTAAATATTTATCTATCTATCTATTTATTTATTTATTTATTATGTATACAATATTCTGTCTGTGTGTGTGCCTGCAGGCCAGAAAAGGGCACCAGACCCCATTACAGATGGTTGTGAGCCACCATGTGGTTGCTGGGGATTGAACTCAGGACCTTTGGAAGAGCAGGCAATGCTCTTAACCTCTGAGCCATCTCTCCAGCCCCTTAAGTATTTTTTGTGGGTTATCTTCTTTATGTTCTGTAACAACTCAAGAGATAAAGCACTAATTTTATCCCATTTTTAAATATGTAAACAAGCTGAAGTATAGAGCTAAAATAGATTAATATAAAAAGACTAAATAGCAATAGTAAACAGTTCCCAGATTCAAAGTAAGACCCAGAAAACTATGAAGAAGACAGGATTAACAGGGGCAACTGTGCCTGGGTTCTTTGGGTATCCTTACTTATTGCCTGTATCTCCCACAGTCTCTGCTTCCTGAGTTTGTGGTGTTGATGGGAGTCTCGGGGCAGTCCGTGTGGCTCCAGCTGCTGAGGATCTCCCGGGTGCTGAGGTCTCTCAAACTGTTTGCACGATTCCGTCAAATTAAAGTTATTATATTGGCTCTGGCCAGGGCCCTGAAGGTGACTTAAACTGATTAACCTAAAGTAGAATGGGGACAAGGTAGAAAGCATAGGTTTACTATTTAATATGGTCAAAGAAGATCGTGAAAGGTTCATGAAATGTTCTTTTTTTTTTTTTTTTTTTTTTTTTTTGGTTTTTCGAGACAGGGTGTCTCTGTGGTTTTGGAGCCATGAAATGTTCTTGTATGAGAACATTTGTATGTCCTTAGGAGCATCAGCCCCTAAAGTAATGTCTGCTAGTTACTGAGCACTAAGTTTTAAATAAATATTTATGTGGATTATCTTCTTTATGTTCTGTAACAACTCGAGAGGTAAGTACTAACTTCATCCCATTTCTTTTATATTTAAACAAGTTGATGTACAGAACTCAAAAAAGAAAAAGTAAACTGTTGTGGGTTAGAGTTGCGCTTGCTCTGGATTTGCTGGGAGATGACATGGTGTGCTGGGCTGGGCTGCTGGTGAGCATCCTTGACTTACCTACCCCCGATTTGAATCTGTCTGTAGAGCATGACGTTCCTCTTGATGCTGCTGCTTATCTTCTTCTACATTTTTGCTGTAACCGGTGTCTACTTCTTCCAAGATTATTCCCGTTCAACTACTGAGAACCTGGAATACAACATGTTCTTCTCGTAAGTATGGCTAAGGGCGATCTTCATGAGGGAGAGGTTTGTATGATACTGAGATGCTCATCCAAAGCACAGAAATACAGAAACTAAACTCTCTGGTAGGAGGGTGGGGCAGAATACAAAGAGGAGAAAGGAAGGCATAGTAAGTAGAGCTAGCTCTGATGTTGGGCCTAGGACAACCAGTTCTGGTTTGTTTGTGTTTTTAAGTTTTTTTGAAATTTTTAATTAAAATATAATCGTATCCCTTTCCCTTTCCCTCACTAACCTTTCCCATGTCCCCCTCCCCAACCCCTCTCTTGCCCCTCCACTCTTTCTCAAATCAACAGTCTCTTTTTTATTATTATTGCTACGTATATGGCATAAATATGTAATATATAAGTACAGTCTGCTGAGTGTTTGTGTGTATGACTTCAGGGCTGATCACGTTGTACTAGATAAACTGATTGGGTGACCCCCACAGGAGACTAATCCCCCCTGCAGTCATCAGTCAGTCCCTAGTTACCTGTCTAAGGGTGGGATCTCCTGAGATCTCCACCTTCCACAGTAGCAGCTATTAGTCAGGTCTTGCCTGGGCAGCCATATTGCTGAGATATTCTGCTTGTAGCTTCCCTGTCATTTCTAGGAGATGCACTCTCAAAGCAGACTTCGTGTTCCCCTGGCTCTTAAAATTTTCCTGCCATATATGTAGCAATAATAATAAATATTATGAAAAGCAATTTTTTAAAAAAGAGATTATATCAAAAACATTTCTTGCAAGAAGAAAGTCCATTTAAAATTATTGACTTGGGACCCATTATTTTTACTCTTCTTTTTCTTTTTTTTTTTCTTCTTTTTCTTGTATTAGCAGAACTTGAACATAGGAGTCCATGTGTGCTAGACAAGTGCTCTATCACTGAACTTTCTCCCTAGCATGTATTTATTTTCTTTTTTAAAAAAGATGTGTTCTTGCTAAATTGATCAGACTGACCTGGAACTCAACTGTATAGTTTAGGCTGCCCTTAGAACAAGTATTGACACACCCAACTGGAGTCTAGTTTCAGCAGCATCTCAGAGGTGGTTTTGTTCTGTTTTATTTTGAGACAGCATTCTCCTTTATAGCCCAGGCTGGCCTTGGCAGGTCTCCTGCCTCTGCCTCCCAAATATTGCAATTACTATATAATTAGGTCTTTCTTAGGCAATTTTTGTTTGTTTGTTTTGTTTTTGAGGGAAGTGGAGTTGGAATATTCTTTGGGCCACCAACCAGCTCCCAAATAAAGACTCGCAGACTTATTATTAATTATGAATGCTTGGCCTTACCTTAGGCTTGTCCCATCAGCTCTTTTAACTTAACCCGTTTCTGTTCATCTACATTTTGCTTCAGAACTTTTTACTTTTCTTTCATTCTGATGTCCCACTTTCATGCTTCCTCTCTTTCTGGCCAGCCCTGGCATCTCCCTGGCCTCTCTTTCTCTTTCTTCTCTTTTTCTTCTCCAAGCCTAAATTCCCCCTCCTACTTACACTCCCTGCTCAGAAGTTCCACCTATATACCTCCTCCCTCGCTATTGGCCATTCAAGTGCCTTGGCCGTTCAGGTGCCTTAGGCAGGCAAGATAAAACAGCAACACATCTTTACATAAACAAATGCAACACATTTTGCATAGTTAAACAAATATTGTGCAACATAAACAAATGCAATCCATCTTAACATAGTTAAGCAAATGTAACACATCCTTACATAATTAAACAAATATTCCAAAACAGGCAAGGTCTTGAACTGGCTGTGTAATAAAAGATGGCGGTGAACTCCTGATCCTCCTGCTTCCACTTTCCAAGTACTGGGATGACAGCTCTGTACCATGATCACACCTCTAAACTCTTACTTATTTTTTAATAAGACAGGGTCTCAATGGATGTTGTGGGATGGGTCTTTAATCCCAGAGTAGGGGCAGGGGTTTTACTGTTTGATGGAGGAAGGTCATTGGCTAATAAAGGAACTGCCTTGGCCCATTTTATTGGTTGAAAGATAGGTGGGAGGAGTAGGCAGAACAGGATGCTGGGAGGAAGAGGAAGTGAGCTCAGTCTCAACAGCTCTCCTCTCGGGAGTAGACGCCTGAGAGAGACGCCATGCTCCTGGCTCCTGGGCAGACGCACGCTATGAAGCTCCGACCCAGGATGGACATAGGCTAGAATCTTCCCGGTAAGCGCACCTTGGGGTGCTACACACAAATGATTAGAAATGGGCTAAATTAATATGTGAGAATTAGCCTAGAAGAGAATGGGCCAAGCAGTGTTTAAATGAATACAGTTTGTGCGTTGTTATTTCGGGGCATAAGCTAGCCGAGCAGGCGGCTGGGGTGCTGGGAATGCAGCCCCGCTGCTCCTATTACTACAACTGTTTACTTCTGACTGACCTGGAACTCACATAGATCTACCTACCTGCATATTTCCTGAGTACTAGGAATAAAGGCAAACACCAAAACACTTGGCTTCAGCTCTTTTTTTTTTCTCACTGTGTACGTCAGGCTGTCCTGAAACTCACTATGTTGATCAGGCTGGCCACCATGCCTGTCAACTCTAGACTCAGCATGTACTTTTGTGAAGAATTCAGAGCAGGCTGAAATGGGTCATTCCTGTACTCTTAGCCCTTGACAGCTGAGGCAAGAGGATTGCTTCTGGTTCTAGGTCACCTGGGTTGATGCAGTGAGTTCTAGATCTAGGGCTACATAATGAGACTTTGTTACAGAAAAAGCAAACTAAAAACAAACATGAGAAATAAATAGGAAAGAAGAAAATTTTTGATAGTTTGTTTTTATGGACTAAAGATTTCAGGAAAGAGAAAAACTCAGTACTTTATTCATGCTAAACAAATGCTTTATGAGGTAGCTTTAGTCTTTAATGCCCAAATATTTCATTTATAATTGTGTCAATTTAGATAATGCAAAAATTTTGCTGGGCATGGTGGCACATGCCTTTAATCTCATATATATATATATATATATATATATATATATAAAAGAAACAAACAAACAAAAAAGAAAATTTAAAGAATTTAGTCAGGAGCAAGGGTGGCTTTAATCCCAGCACTTGGGAGGCAGAGGCAGGTGGATCTCTGTGAGTTTGTGGCCAGCCTGGTCTAGAGAATGAGTTCCAGGACAGCCTGGGCTGTTACACAGAGAAACCCTATCTCGAAAAAAATTAAAATAAAAATAAAACAAGGGGCTGGAGAGATGGCTCAGTAGTTAAGAACACTGCCTACTTTTATAGAGGACCTAGTTTCAGTTCCCAGCACCTACATGACAGCTCACAGCTGTCTATTACTCCAGTTTGAGGGGGTCTGACATTCTCATACAGACATACATACAGACAGAACACCAATGCATATAACATAAATAAATAGATAATTACACACACACACACACACACACAAGAATTTAGTCAATATGTATTTATTGAGAAAGCAGCAGCCCCAGGACTAATAGAATACTGAGAGTTATTTATAGGCTGTTGAACATAATAAAAGTGATTTTGGACTGAAGAATGGTTAGCTAGAAAATATCGATAGAAAAGGAGCCCAAATCAGAGCATATTACAAGTAAATGCCCTTATGTAGCTCTAAGAATAATAATGAGACCAGGCACAGAGGCAGGAGTTCAACTTTGTGAAGTCAAAGTCCGCCTGTGGATATAGTGTTCCAGTCTAACCTGGGCTGCATAGTGAGACTCAAAACAAAACCCAGTTTCTGAAAGGTTTAGATCTCTGCTTCTTATATTCACTCGTTGCTTTTTTAGGGACCTACTCAATTCCCTGGTGACAGTGTTCATCCTCTTCACCTTGGATCATTGGTATGCAGTACTTCAGGATGTCTGGAAGGTGCCAGAAGCTAGCCGTGTTTTTAGCAGCATCTATGTGATCCTTTGGTTGTTGCTTGGCTCCATTATCTTTCGAAATATCATAGTAGCCATGATGGGTAAGTCCAGAGAAGGTACAACTTTGCACAAGGGATGGTGGGAAAACTGGCTGTTTGGGGTTGGTGGAGCACCGGGAGAGAACTCAGTGTGTTAAGGAAGTTTGGCTGTTTCACTTTGTCTCTCCCACTTGAGCAGTCTTCCTGGTCTAGTCACCACCACCTTCTAACTCTTAATGGCCCTTTGGGGCAGTTACTAACTTTCAGAATATCAGAAATGAGCTGAGTGAGGAGATGACCCACCTGGAGGTTCAGTATAAAGCTGACATATTCAAGCGACAGATTATTCAGAGGTCAGCTTCTATGTGTTCAAACCCCATGCTACTTCTCAACTCGTTTTCCTGTTTCTTTTCTTTGGCCCCTATGACCACAGTTTTGCCTAGAATTAAGAAGTCCCCATTCTTGTTTTTCTTTATATGCTATGGGGGTTTCTCTACTTCCCTTCATTACTTAGTTTTCTTTCTTTATAGATCTGAATTGTTTTCTTTATTATACTTTTTCTGAGTTGTAGCTTTTTTTTTCTAATTTTAATTTCTTTTTTGTTTTGTTTTGTAGGAGACAAAACCTGTCCCGTGGATCAGTAAGGTAAAGTAATAACAACATGGATGACAGGTTAGTAATAAGTATGTGGATGGGATGGAAATATAAGAAGAAATAGATGGTAGAAACTGGCGAAGGTGAAGGTTTGCTTTGAGAGAGAATCCATGGTACCCCAAATTATCTATCTTTGTCCTAACTCTCTAAGACCTTTATGTGGCTTTATTTGAAAACAGAGTCTTTGCAGATGGGGTTAGTCTAAAGATCTGAAATAGCTCATCCTGGGTTATTTGAGTATGTTCTAAACTAGCAACAAAGATCCTCTAGGAAACCAGGAGATGACATGGCAGCAGAGAATAGATGAAGGTGTGGGGTCTTTTGTATAGTCCTGGCTGTCCTCAAACTCGATGACTGGCCTCAGGCTCACAGAAATCGTCCTGTCTCTGCCTCTGAGTGCTGGAATTAAACATATGTGCCACCACACCTGACTGATTATTTTGTTTTTGTGGAGATTTTTTTCTTCTTAATTTTTTTAAAATTTTGAACATGGCTTTACCAATCATGACTGGCTATGGTTGTGGTTTTAAACAAGGTTAACTAGGACATCCTCATTGAAAGAAATAATGTGAGCAAAGACTTGAAAGCAATGAGATTTCCAGGAGTATCTCTGTATGAGAGTGTGAACAGCAGAGAGAGCAGCTGTACAAAACCCTCATGTGTGAGAGAGACAGTAATGACCATTGTAACAGGGCAGAAAAAGAGTGCCAGGAGATGAGGTGAGAGAAACAATGGATTGTGTATGAGCTACTTTTCTGCAGCTCTGAAAAACACCATGACCAAGCTAACTTACTGAAGGAAGAGTTTCTTTTGACTTATGCTTCCAGAGGGAGTGGAATAAAGGCAGAGGAGGCACGGCAGCAGGTAGTCAGAGCAGGAAGCTGAGAAATCACATCTTTAACTGCAAACATGAAGCAGAGAATGAACTACAAGTGGGACAAGGTTGTGAATGCTCAAAATCTGTCTTTACTGATACCCTTCCTCCAGCAAAGCTCCACTTCCTAAAGTTTCCACACCTTTCCCAAAAAGCACCCCCAACTGGGCACCAAGTGTTCAAAGACATGAACCTGTGGAAGGTTGTAGGCAGAGTTTTTTGATGGGACTACCGACTCCCCAAAATGACCACACAGAGACTTATTTTTAATTATAAATACTCAGTCAATAGCCTAGGCTTGTTGCTAACTAGCTCTTTCAACTTAACCCATATTTCTTATCTATGCTCTACCACGTGGCAGTACCTTTTTCAGCACGGCATGCTCATCTGTGTCCTCTGCATCTGGCTAGCAACTCTGCCCTCCTTCTTCCCAGAGTTCCCTTAGTTTGGCTCTCCCACTTAACCTCTTCCTACTTGGCTATTGACCAATCAACTCTTTATTTAAACAATGCGAGCAGCACATCTTTACAGTGTACAAAAGGATTATTCCACAGCAGGAGACAATACTCGTGCAAACCTTCCCACCATGGGAACATGATTCTGTAGGGCTATCAGAGGTTATTGTAGGCTCTGAGCAGAGGAATGGCATGAAGTGATGTACATTTAAAAACAGGATTTTCTGTTGGACTGATATGGGAAGGAAGAGAACGGTTAAGAAAGATACATTGGGGATGTCTGAGCTGGGAAGTACCTAAGCCTAGAGTCTGAGAACAGTTTGGCTTTAAAGCTGTAAATCAAAGCTTTAGGGACCAGCATGATAAATGGACCATCACATCTTGCAAATATATTTGAAGCAATAAAGTTTGTTTCTTTATATGTATAGAGGAACAAGTCAAGGAAAGCCCTCTGAAGACTTACTAGGACATTCTAAAGAGTTTGTAGCCAGTGATCCTGGAAAAAATGATGCCAACAAAAGCAAAGACGTCAACAAAAGTGAAGACGCCGAAAAAAGTGATGACACCGAAACCAGTGATGACTCCGAAAACAGTGATGACGCCGAAAACAGTGATGACGTCGACGAAAGTGACAAAGTTGGAAAAGTACAAAAAGAACCATCAAAAGAACCACCAAAAGCCAAAGTCTACTCATCTTCCTCTTCTGACGCTGCATCCTCCTACAGTTCTTCGTTAGCTGATTTGGATCATGTTGGTAAGCAGAATAGGACCTTCCATTTGAATTCATATTCATCTTGCTTAAGAGAACCACAGCCATTTTGTTTTGCAGCCCAGGATGACTTCAAACCCTCCGTTCTCCTGCCTTGTATCCAAATGATGGGGGGGGCAGGCATGTATTAGACATCCATGTTGTCACCGTCTCGTCTTCTTTCTCCTTTTTTATCTCACCACGTCTGGCCTAGACGTGTTCTTAAGAAACATTCTTTCTTACAGATAACTTGGACTGGGAGACTCTTGTGCATGAGAACCTGCCTGGGTTAATGGATATGGATCAGGATGACCGTGTTGTTTGGCCCAGAGATTCACTTTTTCGATATTTTGAGTTACTAGAAAAGCTTCAGTATAACATAGAGGAGCGCAAGAAGTTACAAGAATTTGCAGGTGAGGACTTAAGGCAGTCCTGGGGTCAGGAATCTCAGCTACTCCGGCTATTCTAAAACAGCAACTTAGAAAAGAGCTAGAAAATAGGCTTCTCCACCAGGGGGCGCTCAAGTCTCACAAGGTCGGAAAGCTTGGTTCTCATGAAGATAGATAGTACTGATAGAACTGATAGTTCTCAGAGGTTGGTACTGTTGAGAATCAGGCCAAGGTGGGTTCCTGCTAAGTAGTGCAGCAGATTGCCTTCTCCTGGAAGGCCAAGGCCACATTCCAGTCTGAGCTGTAGGGTTCAGGGTCGCACTGGGAAGCTGGAATTAGAAAAACCCACATGTAACTACTCCTCCATCCTCAGAAGATATCAAGGAATAGGCATCAACCTCCTGATTGGAATTGGATAAAAGCCGAAAACTTACCTGCTCCAAATCATTTTTCTTACATTTCACCCTTTGTATATTAATTTGAATTAAAAAATTTTAAAAAAAAGGTAGTAGGAGGAGATGAATGGAAGGAAAATGTCTACACACAGACATGAGAGTTAGGAATAGCTCTTCTTTTTCTTCTCCTCCTCTTTCTCTTCTTCCTCCTTCTTCATAGCAGGCTAGGAAACGAGCGTCTTTATTTACTAAGCTACCCTGGTATCTCTGTTAGTTCTCTTTGTCCACTCAGCAGTTACACCTCAACTTCCTTTCATGTCATACATACATGTATGTATGTATGCATAATCTTATGTATCTATATAAAATCTAGGACCTGCAAATGGAGAAAGTAAATGGTATTTGTTTTTCCAAGACCGCAGAGCTCTGCCCTGCCTTGATGTATTTGTTTATGGTGCTGAAGAGAAACTAGGTTTAAGAAGCATAGAGTAAATATCTGTCGAGATGTGTGTGAGGGGCTGGAGATGGTTCCGCAGTTAAGAGCACTGGCCGCTCTTCCAGAGGTCCTGAGTTCAATTCCCAGCAACAACATGGTGGCTCACAACTATCCGTAATAAGATCTGGGGTACCCTCTTCTGACATGCAGGTTAAATGGAGGCAGAATACTGTATACGTAATAAATAAATCTTTTTTAAAAAAAGATTGCTGTGAGAATCTGGAAGGCAGGAAGCAAGGCCTTTAGCAAACATACGTGTGTACGTGTGTTCGTCCATTCTCAGCACTGGCCTCACAGTCTGTCTCTCTACAGTCCAAGCCCTGATGAGTTTTGAAGACAAGTAAAGGGACAATGGATGGCGGCACATCTCTCGACCCAGTGAAGGGAATAGTTGAAAAAAGAGAATTCAAAATATAAATATCTAATAAAAACCACTAGTGAATATTTCTGGTAAGTAAGTTAATTAAATATTTTTATGAGATGTAGATGATACAAAAAGGCAAAAAGTACTTGAGAGAGGCTGTTGGAGCCTGTGCTTCCTTCTGACTGGCCAGCCTGTCTGCAGCCCCTGATATGGCTCTTCATGACCGTACAGTCTAGCCCATTTCTTGTAACTTCTACTTCCTAGTAAGAGCACTGGTTTCTCTTTGTCTTGGCTACAGTCTGTGCAGGCTTCTGTGTGGAATAACCCTGTCCTCAGAGATGTCGGTTTAACTACTTGAGAGGTCAGGTTTCCATCGCCTACTCTGCTAATGCTCCCTTGGGCAGCATTAACTTTCTTTCTTTCTTTTCTTCTCAAACTCACAGAGATCCGCCTGCCTCCCAAATGCTGAGATTAATGGCGTGCGCCACCACCGCACTTTCTTTTCAGTGCTGGGATACAACCTGGGCTTCATCCATGGTGGGTCCGTGCTTTAGCAGTCACATCTCTAGCTTCCTCTCTCTTCACTGACCTTAATGGACTCGACTTCAATTCCAGAATCAGCCAACAGTCCAGACCAAATGGTCCAGAATGCTCCCACATACTATTGGCTTCGGTCACATATTGTTCATACCCGTATCTGGACCAAAGACAGTACATTTCTTTATCTCCCTCATCATAGATCAGGGACGTTTTCATTTCAGTTTATGTTCCACAGTTTGTAGGACCTCAGAATTGATCTAATTTCCATCAAAACAGAGACACCTTATTGTGTGCGTGTATATGGTTCCAGAGATCAACCCCATATCCTCATATAGCCTACCACTGTTCTATAAACCCCAGCAGGAAGCCCTTTATAACTGAAAGAGCGACTATCAAGCTGATGGTTGGTGATGTACTACTGAAGGTATTCCATTCCATTGTGGAAGGACTCAAGTCTTTTCGGTTTGTTGTTTTTTGGAGATAGGGTCTCTGGTTCTACCCCACGCTGACCTCAATTTACAATGCAGTACAGGCTGGCCTTGAACTCCTGCTTCAACTTCCTGAGTTATAGGGTTACATGCCCAGCATAGGATTTATTGCTTTGGAAATGCTTGTTATTAAAAATTCTATCAACCTTGGCAGAGGAGATGGATCTGTGGTAAAGAACATTTGCTGCTCTTGTAGAGGACAAGATTCAGTTCCCAGCACCCCCATGGTGGCTCACAACTGCCTGGAATCCAGGTCCAGGAATCTGATGTCCTCTTCTCTTCTCAGGCACTGCATGCATGTGGTGCACAGACATAGATGCAGACAAAACACACATGCACATAAAAATCAATAAACATTTTTAAAAATTCTATTGCTTGTTGAGTGCTTGATATGTAGAAACATTTTATCTATTATATGTATATTTACATGCTATACAATATATTCTTTATGTGGAGTATGTGTGTATATGCCATAAAATAGTCAGATGTGTAAGATAAACTCTCATTTAATTTTTTTTAATTGAAAACTTCTTTTTCTTTGAAATAAAGTTTCTCTCCATAGTCCATGCTGTGCTAGAACTTATTATGTAGCCTATCCTGGCTTGAGCTCTATGGATAGTTAGACCTTGTCTCAAAAAACAAGCAGGTTGGGGAGATGGCCTGGTTGATAAAGTGCTTGTTGGCGAAGGATCAGGATGTAAGTTCAGGTCCCAGCACCCACACAGAAGCCAGGCATGGCAGCGTGTGTATTACCCTAGTCCTGGTAGGCAGAGACAGGTAAACCCCAGGGCTCACTTGCCAGCCACTCTAACTAAAACAGAGTTCCAGGTTCAATTAGTGTCCCTGTCTCAAAAAAAAAATAGGTGGAGAGTAATAGAGGAATGCATTTGATGTTGACATCTGGCCTCTACACATATATGTGTGGGTATGTACCTGTACACATATGAACACACATGCATGCAGCACTTCTACCTAGCCTCACACACAAATAAAACAAATACCAAAAATAAGATAAAACACTGAATCGTATACTTTAAAATGTTTATGTGATATGAATTATATGTCCAAACGATGTATACAAAGGTTTCCTTTTTTATTAGACTGACTTTGTCATTTACTTTGTATGTGTCTCTGTGTCTGAATACCATAAAGCATGAGTGGAGGTGGGACTTGAAATCAGTTTATTAGACTTGACAGCTGAGCCATCTTACCAGGAGGATTTCCTGAAATCAAGAACAACACAGTCGGACATGGGGTGCATCCTTGTAATCCCAGTACTTCAAAGGTAGGAGCAGGGGATCAGGAATTAAACGTTGAGCTAAGGACTGGCTCAGCCAGTTTTTACCTTTATTTCTGGCATTTTATTGCTTCTTAGCAAGCATCATCTGAGAGCTGAGCAGAGATCACTAATTTGTGATTCTCCTGCTTGGGTGACAGAGTGACTTGTATGAACTAAGGGCATCTTCTTTGCTTGTCTTTTGTTATCTATATTCTGCCTCCAGGAACTGGAATTACAGGCATGTGACAAAACACTCAGCTTGAATAAGCATTTTTTTTCCCTTTTCTTTCCTTTTTATGGTTTTTTGAGACAGGGTTTATCTGTGTGGCTCTAGCTGTCCTGAAACTTGCTCTGTAGACCAGGCTGGCCTCGAACTCACATAGATTCACCTGCCTCTGCCTCATGAGTACTGGAATTAAAAGTATATGCCACCTCCCAGCTTTTGAGAAAGGGTGTCACTATGTAGCTTTGGCTAATGTGGAATTTGCTATACAGACCAGGTTGACCTTGAACTAGGAGGTACCCCTATCTGAGAGCTAGAACTACTGGACATGGCTTATTCCTTGTACAATTAGAAACTGGAATTACTTTTTTAAAAAAAAGTTGTGTTTATTTGTGTGAGTGTATGTGTGCCTGCATGAGTTTGTGTGTATCATATGTGTATACACGTGTCTGCAGAGGTAAGGAGTTATTGTGTGTATACACGTGTCTGCAGAGGTAAGGAGTTATTGTGTGAATACACGTGTCTGCAGAGGTAAGGAGTTATTGTGTGTATACACGTGTCTGCAGAGGTAAGGAGTTATTGTGTGTATACACGTGTCTGCAGAGGTAAGGAGTTATTGTGTGTATACACGTGTCTGCAGAGGTAAGGAGTTATTGTGTGTATACACGTGTCTGCAGAGGTAAGGAGTTATTGTGTGTATACACGTGTCTGCAGAGGTAAGGAGTTATTGTGTGTATACACGTGTCTGCAGAGGTAAGGAGTTATTGTGTGTATACACGTGTCTGCAGAGGTAAGGAGTTATTGTGTGTATACACGTGTCTGCAGAGGTAAGGAGTTATTGGATCCATCGGAACTGAAGTGACAGGTGATTGTGAGTCAACTGGTGTGTGTGTGCGCTGGGAACTCAATTTGGGGCCTCTTACAAGAGCTGTAAGAACTCTTCACTGCTGAGCCACATCTCTGAGACCTTAGCAGCAGCTTATTTAAAAATGTCCTTTCTACAAAGAAACCCTCTCTTAAAAAGCCAAAAATAGATAGATAGATAGATAGATGGATGGATGGATAGATTGATTGATTGATTTTTTAAAAAAGTAAAGGAATGAAGGAAAGTATTTTCTTAGCATGGGGATGGAGTTCATTTGGTAGAATGTTTGCCTAGCATTGAAACTCTGGATTTGACCCCCATAGCTATATAAAACTGGTCTGGTAGAACACATCTGTAATCTTTGTACTCAGAAGTTAGAGTAGAACAGTCACAAAGTCAGCTCTATCCTCGGCTATGAGTCAAGTTCAAGGCCAGCCTGAAATACATTAAGAACTTGCTAGAAGAAAAAAAATAATAATTAGCCGGGCGGTGGTGGCACATGCCTTTAATCCCAGCAGGTTGATATGTGTCCCACTTAGGGCTGAGCACTCAACAGCACCTAATCTCAGCATTTTGACCATTTATGAGTCTCTGCATTGCTGCCCACCGAAGAATGAGACTTCTCTGGCCAGTGTGTGTGGCCAGCACTAATCTGTGGGTATAAACACAAATATTTACAGGGCAGATTGCTGTTATGTCCATTTAGCAAAACATTAATGGTAAATTCTGCCCTAAGGCCTATGACCTCCCAAGTCATGGAATTTTGACCATGTTTACAGTAGTAGGCATGAATTTCCTCCAGTGGACCAGGGTTCATATTCAATCATAAAGTAGTTGGTTACCTCTATAACTTTCATGCCACTATTATACCAATGGGCATATCTTGCCTGACAAGTCAGTATTATGGCATGCAGGTTCCAGTGCTGGGTAAGACCATTTAGTCTTTGACCCCAGTAGCCTCCATGAAAACTAACCATCAGGGAAGAAGTTTTCAGGTCAATATAAACTTGATTTCTCTATGTCCTGAAATCCAGTGTATTTATTATGTATTCAGCAATAGTTTTTGTTTGTTTTTTGAGACAGGATTTCTCTGTGTTAGTTCTGGCTGTCCTGGAACTCGCCCTGTAGACCATATTGGCCTCAAACTCACAGAGATCTGCCTACCTCTGCCTCCTGAGTTCTGGGATTAAAGGCGTGCATCAGCATCACCCAGACAGGGTCTTTATTATATAGCCTTGGATGGCCAGGAGCTCACTATGTAGACCAGGCTGACCTCAAATGAATAGAGATCTCCCTGTTGTAACCTTCTGAGAGCTGGGATTAAAGATGTGCACCAACCTACGCCCACACCCCACCCCGTTAGGTCTAGATCTTACCATTATTATTTTTATTCATGTGTGCATATGTGCACATACCACAGTGCAGGGTGAAGGTCAAAGGACAATTTCTGGAATCAGTTCTTCCACTGTGGATCTGGAGACTGAACTCAGATCATCAGTGTGCACAGCACTCTTTTACCAGCTTCCCTGATTGGTTTTCTTACATTGTTTCAGCCACCGTGTGCTGTGTGCTAATGACTTCCATTTCCACTTTCTTACCAGACCTCTTAATAACTCAATTGCCTGCTAAACATCTGCACTTGGGTACATAGTTTGTAAGCTAGCCCATACTGAATTTAATTACTATCCTTCAAACGTTCCCCTTCCTCTCCATCTCCTACTCTTTCCAATAATGCTTCTGGGGATCAGATCCAGAGTTTTGTGTATGCTGTGCAAGTGCTCTACCAGTGAGATACATCCCTAGCCCCTTGGTTTCCTAATCCCAGGGAAAGATGCCAAACAGTTTTCTTGACTTAGAGTCATCCTCAGGAACCCTCTCCCTGCTTAGCTCTGGGGGTCTTTCACAAAGGATCTTTTATTTGCAGAGAAAATAGGACCTTGAGCTGGGAATAAGACTCGGACTATAGTGCTTACCTGCCATGTGCATTGCCTGGGTTCCCTTCCCAGGAAGAACAGAACCAGACGTGGTACATGCTGGTAATCTCTTATGTTGCCACTACTAGGATCAGATTAGCTCAAGGCAAATTCTCTTTCTTTCCTCGCTCTCTTTTTTTTTAAAGATTTATTTATTTATTATGTATACATATACAGTATTCTTGGTATTCTGTCTGCAGGCCAGAAGAGGGCAGCAGATCTCATTACAGATGGTGTGAGCCACCATGTGGTTGCTGGGAATTGAACTCAGGACCTCTGGAAGAGCAGGCAGTGCTCTTAACCACTGAGCCATCTCTCCAGCCCCTCCTCTCTCTCTTTTTAAGAAATTACATTTATTGCTGGGCATGGTGGCACTTGCCTTTAATTCCAGCACTGGGGAAGCAGAGGCAGGCAGTTCAAGGCCAGCCTGACTTAAATAGCAAGTTCCAGGATAGCTAGGATTGACTCAGAAATAAACAAAGAAGTGAATAAATAAATAAAATTACATTTAGTGATTGATTGTATGTGTGTCAGTGTCCCAGAACAATGCATGTGAGGTCAGAGGATAACTTCAAGGAGTCAGTTCTCTGTCTTTACCAAGTGACCTCAGTCACTGGACTTTGTGGCAAGCACCTTTACTTTCTGAGCCATTTGGCCACCCCCTCTTTTTTTTTTTTTTTTTTTTTTTTGAGACAAAGTCTATGTTGGCTGGTTTGGAACTCCCTACATACATAGACTGGGCTGGCCTCAAACTCACAGAGATCCACCCATCTCTGCCTTCTGAATGCTGGGGTGTAAAGGTATGGGCCACTACATCCACTTCTCTTTTTA